TGACAAGAGGGTTTGAGGTTCTTGATGAAGGAGGAACAAGAGACTTTGCGTAGGCCATCGGCAAGGAAATGATCTTCTTTGGCTTGCTTACAAAGGCCCTCCTCGTGAAATTATCATAGTCGTTTGCTTCTATCTCATCCAATATTTGTCGATACAAAAGTAGCGACGCCCACACCTGCAACGACCAAGACCAACATATAAACATAACCAAGTCGAAAAAAAAAAAAATTTCCTTATGATTATAAATTAAAGTAGTGTTAAAGTTGTGTTATAAATTGCCTTATGATTATAAATTAAATTTAATATGGGCTTTCATTCTTCTTACAGGCCATCTGCTAGCTGAATTCAGTTCAGTGACCCCACTCTCAGCATCATCAAAGAATTTCCTTGCCCTTTGGATTTGCTTTTTCATGAAATGTCTCCATTTATCGGTCACTTTCCCAGCAAATATATCGTCCTCGGTTATCCCCGCCTGTGCCAGTTCATCTTGAGGAAGATAAATTCTCCCTCGCCTTGCACTACACACCAAATCGAATATATAAGCCAATCTAAATAAATAAATGGAAGTATTTTTCAATCTAACTCTACTTTTTATTACTTACTCTTCCCCAACATCTCTGAGAATATTGGTCAACTGATTCGCGAGCCCCAAAGCCAAAGCAGCACTATACACACTCTCGGTCGTAGCTTGAGACTCGGGTGCTATGCCCATAATTGGCACACTCATTAGCCCCACAGTTCCGGCCACATAGTAACAGTACAGATAAAGCTCGTCAAAGTTAATGTATCTCGATTTCCGAAGGTCCATCCTCATGCCTTCAATCATATCCTTAAACGGCTGCAAAAGGAAAAAGAAAAATACTTCATTCGTCAAACGTGTTATTTCCAGTAAAGAAGAAGAAAGAAAAAGGGATTGGATAACTTAAAAGTAGAATTCAACTAAGTGCCTTGGTAAAAGATTATTGATTTTTAAGGCAAACAGCAACATTTGCTCAAAAAGATTCTTGTTCGAGCTTTTCTTAACCAGAACTCGAATTTAGTAGGTACACTATGTTAGTGATTTGAGAAAATAGTCAACGCTTGTCAAGAGTTGACCTGAATGTCAACAGGGAACTTGGTAACAGTGTCAGATAAAGCAGCATCGAACATATCAAAAGGGCGCCCTTTGAAAATATCCTCGAGCCGAGCCTCCCACCTGTCGAGGGCTGTTGGGGTTATATGGGATGCATTCGGCCCATCAACAAGCTCGTCCGTTCTCCTACACCACACTGTTCAATACAACAAAAATAATATAAATGCATACTAAAATAGTGATAAAAATAGAGACGAGTGAGTAAATGGCATCTCGACAAAAATATTAGTAATAAATGTAATAATTGCATAACAAATTCCAGATTTTCGTGCAGTCATTATTGATATTCGTTTCGAAATTGGTCGTCGTGTATTTTCCACATTTTACGTAAGACGAATGATGTCTTTCTTCTTTTTAATATGAATCACATGCTAAATATGGAATAGAATCACAAATTCAAACATGAAGACTATCGATGATTGACCTCATATGAACTGCACAGTTATATACTTTTTTTTATATGATTTTAGCTGATTAAAAGAAGCTTCGACACCAAACACACCAGGGGAAAAAGACGAACGAAAAAAGGCTGATTATTACCCCCACCTAAATAAAGATCATGCTTTATTAGTTATTACTAATCAGCACTATTGTAATCACCAAAGTTAATCAACTTTTCGGTAGTGTAATCGATGATAGCATTATTCAGCAATAATGCAAAATTGTCATTTTCTGTAACACAATATGCTTATTGGTGGAAAAAATCAAAGCAAGAAAAATGCTATCATAAAAATTTATTTAAAACAGAAGAGGCATCACAAGGTTCTTCCATGTTTCATCATCAAACACAAGAACAAAATCAAATCAAGAAAATGCTTCCGCAAAGATCGAAAATTACACCGATAGATATATTCAAATATCAAAAGCCATATATTTCTTAAAAATTCTCACCATATATTGCCCATATGGCTTTTCTTCTCTCGGGGGTCATCAGCATAGTCCCTGCAAAAGAACAAGAAAGTAGATAAAGGCTTTCATTTCATCTTCAAACAACACAAACTTCGCAATCCTATGATTCATTAGCACAAAAGAAGAATAAATAAAAAGCGGCCTAACCGAGATAAAACGTCTTAGCATACTCTGCACAGACTTCGCCACAACGATCATAAGCTTCACTCAACAAGCCAAGAGCTCCTGGAAGAACAATATCTGGCTTCACCTCCACATCCTCCTTCGACTTCAACTGCCTCTTAACCAAAGCTGCCTGCCTTAAGACCACATCATAAACCTTTTGCTCGGATGTTAAGGTGATCTCGGCAGCCGAGCTCGCCACAGCAGAAAGTGGAGATAATCTGCTTTCTTTATCGAAACTCGAGCTTCCCAAGCTAGAGCACCTCAAATCAACATTTGTGGTACTAAAATAATTTCTATTTTTCCTCTGCAGGGCCTTGCTTGGCCTGCCATGGCAGGCCAAGGTTTTCGTCCCGAGAAAAGCCCGGTTTCCTTCCCGGACGGGCTCAAGATTTGCTCCGCCGTTCGAGAAGTCCGATATAGGACAAGCAACCCACAAGAAAGCAACAGACATGGTGATAGATAACTTTTTCTTTTTTAAGATTATGTTCCTATGAAAGCTGCTCTCAATTCTTGCACATGGACCAGACTAGTTGATGGGGTTCGCTGCAAAATAAACCAGATATACCATCAAATACATAGAAAATGCAAGAAAGGGATTGTCTAACAAACTCAATAAATAAATAAATAAATAATATTAAAAAAAAAAACACCGTAAAATGCCATAAAAATGCTCAAAGCGCCTACCAGAAGCGCACAAGCTGCTTAAAATAAAATAAACCTAAAAAATATTAGTACCTATTTGTTATTACACTTACATGGGTAATGGGTTGTGAAGGTTTTCTATACATATTCAACTACTTCTACATAGACTAATTAAGAACCCATTTCGTCATACATTAAAGATCCAATTTTCACAACACAACTCAAACGAACTAGGTAAATATGGAAGCAAAAAGCTCGCAATGAAAAATTAACAGAGTGTTTTAAAGCACATACCTTTGAATCTTGATCAAGTTCGAAGAAATTCAAAACAGTGTTCAATGTGTTTGTTGTGCTTCTTTTCACTTTCCCTTATATTTTTTCTGGGTTTTGAATTTTCAGACCAAAGAAACAAATTTATACGATCGACATTTCTCTCTCTCTCTCTCTCTCTCTCTCTCTCTCTGTGCAGACGAGGATTATTAGAACGAGTGACTCACATTCAATGCTGTGTGAAAAAAAAAAAAAAAAAAAGTGTATTTTTAAATGCCTGTGGCCTCTGTAATGGGTCCCACCTCTGGTTGTGATGGGAGACTGTGGCCAAGTTTGGTGCTTGGCTCCACAAGCCAGAGGTATCTTTTTCATCCCTCTCAAGCAGATTCCGAATTGCACAGTGTATCTCTTGTGTTTGTGCTTCACAATATAATGCCGTGGATAAATGACATTCACGGTGTCATAACAATGACCAATGAAAAATGAGGTAAACTATGGTATTGTAAGTTGTAACCTCACTTTGTGACAAAATAAGAAATAATATTATTGGGAGATGCTACGGTCCCGTTACGGAACCATTCTGTCGGGATTTGTAACCGTTGGATCATCATGTAATCGTAGGGATAATTGATCTAACGGTTACAAAGCCCAATGGAATGGTTTTGTAAAAGGATCGTAGCATCTTTCTAATAATTATGGAGAATGCTACCATCCCGTTACGGGATGGTTCCGTTGTGTTTTCTAGCCATAGATATACATGTATTCTAGTGATGGGTAGTTAATTCAACGCTTAAAAACATAACGGAACCATCCCGTAACGGGATGGTAGCATTCTCCAATAATTATTATATGTAAGTTAATTGTCTTGACTCGATCTCTATTAGACATGGTCATAGGGTTGGATTGACCTGTTGACGCGGTGGGCTGGACCCGTTGGCAAATCTAGCCTAGGCCCGTTGATCAGGGTTCCGAGCCAAAAAATCAAATCGACTAATTGAGTTTGGTATTGCAGTTGATTTCGTTTGATTTTGGAATTTAGAACACGATTAAACATTTTGATTTTTAACTTCATGGTGATGTGGCATCTTGTATGTGGGGTGTGATGGAAGCAAATTCCATCCTAGTCGTTGAGTTACAGAAGTATGTGAATCACAATAATTAAAATGTCTATAGTATGGGACTCATAGAATTCTAGATCGTTCTAGAAACCGAATTGTATTCACTTCTAACAACGCCATTTATTTTTCTTTTAAACACAACAATGATCTCGTCTTATGTTTTATACTGCTCCATTATCATAACATCAACCGTTCCGAGTATATGCATAGTTTCTTCGAGTTCAAATGTCAATCGATACGAATCAACATAGCAAATAATATAACATTTCATAACTTAAGTACATATCTTTGTTATAAAGGTATGACGAGGCATCTTGTATGTGGGGTGTGATGGAAGCAAATTCCATCCTAGTCGTTGAGTTACAAAAGTATGTGAATCACAATAATTAAAATGTCTATAGTATGAGACTCATAGAATTCTAGATCGTTCTAGAAACCGATTTTTATTCACTTCTAACAATGTCATTTATTTTTCTTTTAAACACAACAATGATCTCGTCTTTTGTTTTATACTGCTCCATTATCATAACATCAACCGTTCTGACGTATATGCATAGTTTCTTCGAGTTCAAATGTCAATCAATATGAATCAACATAGCAAATAATATAACATTTCATAACTTAAGTAGATATCTTTGTTATAAAGGTATGACGAGTCGTCCTACCTAATTGTTGGGTTGATTTACACAAATATTTTTTTTTCTCAAAAAGGATTTAACGTAAAATCATATATATCTTTTAAAAGTCGATAACTCGAATGACTATTTATTATATAAACAAAAAAAAAAAAAACACAAATATTGCTGATTTTTTCCATAAATGAAAATGTACTGTAAATCATCTCACCAGTCATGTTGGGTAGTGAATTTATTTATCAATCTCAGCTATTAGGAAAAAGAAAATATTTGGTAAGTCTTATTTATTGTTTCCTATCTTTTAATTCATATATTTACATAATAGTCCCCATCTTTCAAGCTTTTGCAGTAAATTCTTGTGCAGGAATATACAATCAAAAGGTATCTGTCTTGTAATGCTCCACATTTTTGTTTTTCTTTTTTCCTTTTGGCCAATCTCCCAGCATATGGAAATTATTCTTCAAGCTCCAAACAACCTTAAAAATAATGCAATGTCCAAATGTTATTTTTTGACCCCAAAATTCACATATAATTACAAAAACTACTCTGAGGCTGGGAGTAATTGCAGAATAGCCCCGACAAGCTTAGAATCGAAGAAGATAACAACTTTTGGTTTGCGAATTTTTCCTTAACACAATGTACGTGATTGAATTTTCTGCATGAATAGAAAATGTGTTCTGCAAAAATATTTTTCCCTTTTGAAAAGGAACATTCAAAGACAAAATCAAATGATTCTTTATTTTTTTTTTTTTACTAATATTAGGAGATACTACAGTCATGTTACGGAACCATTTTGTCGGGATTTGTAACGGTAGATCATCATGTAAATGTCGGGGATAGTTGATCTAATGGTTACAAACCTCGACGGAATGGTTCCGTAATAGAACTGTAACATTTTCCCAAGTTAATATCATTAATGGTGGTGTTTGTATTTAAGCAAACACAATATTTTTTTTTAATAAGCCAGACTAACGGTCAGACAGGTCGACAAGTGACACTTTTTTTTTTTAACAAAATACATACTTATGCTAGAAACGTTATACTTTTGTTTATAATGTTGTTAGAGTATAACACTTTACATATATCTAATCAAAAAATAATCGGTTAGTTTTGTTTAACAACAGTCTTGTTCTAATGTTGTTAGAGTATGACATTTCACATATATCTATTTAAAAAATAACATTTAGTTCTGTTTAACAGTTATCTTGTTCAAGAAACAGTACCTCTGCAATGTTGACGACGAGCGCCTGATATAAGAAAAATTAACCAAAAAAAATAAAAAAAAATCAGTGAAGAACTAATTTAGGCTAGCTTTAACCTATAGAAACTTATCTTAGCTATAAAATTTATTTTGAATATATACTGGGTATGTTGATGATGTTGATGATGATGATATTAAATTACCATTCAGGCATGTGTAATTGCAGTTTATGCTAATTGGATATACCTTTTTGTGACTTGTGGCTTAAGTTTCTCCTTTGTTTCCTGTTTGGGATGAATTTCTTCTATCTTAACTGGCATATCCTTCACCTGTTATCAGTTCATAACATCTCTTAAATGATATATATATAATCTATGCTAAGGTCCCGCTACGAAACCATTCTGTCAAGGTTTGTAACCGTCAGAGATAGTTTATCTGACGGTTACAAACCCCGACGAAATGGTTCCGCAACGGGACCGTAGCATCTTCCATAATGTTTATGTTACTAACAAATATGACTACAAAAAAATATACATACCAAGCTCTTGAACTGAAGACTGTAAAATGTCTGAATATATCTTCCCTTAGCCTGCCTCTCTGCATTGTACAATCTTCTCCAGAAGCTATATATGCAACCCATTTTCAGTACTTTGTTCGCGTATATCTTCCACGTATAGCTTCAAAAATAAAACGAATCGAAACGAAACGAAACTTTTTATTTAGCGTAAATCCAGCTAAAATTGGTGTACGTAAAATTTACTCGTAAATTAAACATACCATTCTTGTATACGTTGAATCCCCTGCATCGATACTCTGCCCCAGTAATCTTGATCTTCTTTACACTTTTGAAAAAAATCGGCAATCTTTTCACTCGACTCATCCCCATTGTTCGGGTCTATATGAAATCCTGAAACCCCATCGACAATTATTTCTGCGGGCCCACCTTGATTGGTCGCGAAAGTTGGGAGGCCACAGTTCATTGCCTCGATAACCGTTAAACCGAACGCTTCGTAAAGTGCCGGCTGAACGAAGGCTCCCTTTGTGTCAGCTATGGTGCGGTAAAGCTCGCCGTTCCTCTTTTTGTCGGTTTGGGCCGATATCCATCTCGTTTGTCCCTTGAGTTTGTGGCTCTCGATTAAGGCGTGCATTTTCTTGATCTCGGAAGCTTCTTCTCGGTCGTTGGATTTCATGGGGTCGAAGAAGCCTCCGACTATGACGAGGTTGACGAGGCTTCGAAGTCTCTTGTTCTTGCCGAACCAATCTACAAGGCCGGTTATGTTTTTTACCGTGTCGAGCCGAGCCATCGAGAAAATGATGGGTTTCTTCTTGTCATCTAGGTATCCACTTTTTTTTTCAAAAACCAAGAATTAAAAAATGTTGGACAAAAAGGTTTTCATGAGGAATTGAAAAATTGAAAATATGGGGAAAGTTGAAGCTTTCTTACATGTGTTCGTCGTTTTCGACTCGGCTAAAGAGGAGTTGTTCGATTGCAGGACGGAAGTTTGTGAAGCGTTTTTGCTTGTCTGAGTAAGGGAAGTATACCGTTTGGTCTGCACCTGGTGAAGCTATGTTGAATTTCGGGTCGAACACGTTTATTCCCGACAGGACTCGGTAGAGCCCGGGAAGTGTGAATATGCCGTGGCTTTCATATTGCCCCGGCCTTTCTCGGCTACAAACATCACAAAAAAAATTGTAATTTTCTTGAAAAAAAGTTTGAATATTTTGCAACTTTTGCATTCTAACGAGCATCCTTTTACGAAAATTGTACCTGCCGGCAATTTCTTGGTACGTGCTAGTGATGATAAAATCGGCCGTGTTCATCGCGATTAAATCAGCCGTGAACTGGCATGAAAAGTGGTACTTTGAGTCCAACTCCTTCCATTTCATGTCCGAATCCTCGTACTTTGTCTTCTCCAATGCATGCGCGATTGTTCCCTTGTTCGAAAAAGATCGCAATATATATTTTCATTTTGATTTTATAGCCAAACTTTCAAGCACAAAGAAGAAGATCGTTCATTTTACCAAAGTCGTGTCGAGTTTACTAGCCATAAGCGAAGCCACGAGGTTTCCATCCGTATAGTTACCGATAATCAAGTCAGGCTTTCCTTCCATGATTTCCATGATTTTACTACAAGCATCCTGTTAGAAAATAAATCGTAAATTTTTGAACCGTTTTATTATCCTATACAATCCATCCCGATTCGTTATCATTCATTATTACCTGAGTATACCTCTCAAGATACGGATATATATCGAACCGTGAGATCCACTGCCGAACAACAACTCCATTTTCTGTCCTGAACGGCACTCTCAGTATATGTGAGTGCTTGGTGTTCATAACCGGCTCTAACTCAACGTCACATTTAGTCCCCTTTGCATCGGGAATGAGTCGAGTGACCTCCAATACAGAGAAAATTAAAAGTTGTGTATCATTTTTCGAGTTTTTTTTTTCTAAATTTTCTATCGAGTGGAAAAAAATAATAAAAAAAATATATCTCTTACGACGAGAATCTGAGGCTTCACGTAATTGAGTCCTTGCCCCTTAATCCTTTGAAGCAATTCTTCTTCGAACGCGACCACTTGATCCAACACGTAAACCACCTATCGAACAAAGAAAAAAAGATACAAACTTCAGCAATTTATTCAAGTTCGGCAAAAATGCATTTTTAGTCATGTTGTCGTAGCAATTTTAGTTTCAAGATTCTGAGTTTTCGCCTTTTATGTCCTGTATTTGGGACTTTGTTGCAATTTCAATCCTCAAATAACTGAAATGCAGCAAAATATTAAATCACAGGACCAAGAGACAAAATGTAATTAGCATCTTGAGACTAAAATCGCTACTGACATTAGCCTTCAACGTTCCTTAATTTTTTTTTCTTGTTTAGCTTTAAGTATTTATGATCGTTAGGCCATAAAATATTTTCTACCTGGCCACCGGTATCTGGCAAGCCGAGAACATTCGACTGCCCGAAAAATCCATGCACAGAAAAAAGCACGACATTGAAAATTACTGGAAGCCTCTCGAAAAAACTGTCGATATTGATAGGATCGGGAGCCTGCAATATTTCCGAAAGCATGTGCATTGTGTCTCGAACTCTTTCCGCATTATCACCCCATCCTTTCTCAAATCCCCACTCCTTAAACCTGCATTTGATTTATTTATTATTAATTTTTTTCATGTTCTTTTTTTGTTTCGAAAATTTTTAAAACATCGATAAGCTCTGATATCATACCTCATTTCGAAGCTCTGATAAGGTGTATCCTTAGGGAGTATCGACAGGGCAGCTTCGGCTACTATTAGCGAAGATTGAAGCTTCGGAACTGTGTTGAGCGTCTCGTTTATCATGAGCTTCTGCAAAAATAAAAATGAAAAAATTACAAACATGTTATATATTACACCCTACTTTACAT